ATATATTCTTAGAGCTTTCCTTTTTTTATAATTTATATTTTGGCAAAATGTGTATGACATAAAATAACCATTTTATCCTTTTTAGGTTTACAATTTAGTGGCATTAATTACATTTACAGTGTTGTGCAACCATCACCACTATATCTTACCAAAACATTTTCAATAACCCCAATCATTTTGTTTTCTAGCTGCCAGACAATTTGAATAATTTAATATGAAATCATACTTATGTAATATGAAGTATCTCAGGTTGGATCCTGTCATTGAAAATAGCATTCAATATCCATCCTTCTCATTTTGTGGCTTGATAGCACATTTATTTTCATTGCTGAATAATATTTCATTATAAAGATATATTACATGTTTATCCATTCACACTATTAAAGGACATCTTGGTCACTTCCAATTTTTCAGATTATGAGTAACAATGCTATAAACATTTGCATACAAGTTTTGTGTGAATATCAAGTTTTCATATCAGTTGAATAAATAAATAACTGTTCAAAATTGCTGGATGATATGGTAAGGTGATGTTTCATTTTGTAAGAAACTTCAGGTGGTTTTCAATGTGACTGTACCACTTTGTATTACCACAAGCAACGAATAACCGCTCTTATTGTTCCACATCAGCAGCACCATTTAATACCAGTTTTGGAATGTAGTTACTGAAATGAATATGTAGTGGTAATCTTATTCTAGTTTTAATTCCCTAATTACACATGATACTGAACATCATTTCAGATGCTTATTTGCCATCTGTATATCAGCTTTATGAATGGTTCCTTTAGATCTTTTGTCCATTTTTCAAAAAGGCTGTGTGCTACAAAGCACTTCTTGAGTTTTAATGTTTTAAAGAGTTTTAAATGCTCTTAGTATATTTTGAATGTTGTTGTTGTTGTTGCTAAGAGCAGGTTCCTAACCACAGTGACTGTATAGGGTTCCCAAGACTTTAAATCTTCGCCTTGGTAGAAAGCCTTGTCTTTCTCCCAGGGTGAGGTTTAGTAGGTTCGAACCACAGACACTGTGGTTTATAGTCCAGTGCTGATTGTATGGAGCCACTGTTCTCCTAATGTTTGGATACAAGCCAATTATCAGATGATTTGTTTTCAAAGATTTTCTCCCAAGTTATGGAATGCCTTTTGAGTCTCTGAAAAGTGTCTGCTGCAGAACAGAAGTTTGGTTGTTGCTGCTGCTGTGGATGAAACACTATTTAATAAGTTTTCCTTTCATGGATCATGCTTTTAGAACTGTATCTAAAAACTGGTTTCCCAACCCGACACTGCCTAGATTGTCTTCTACTGTTTTTCTAGATAATTTGTTGTTTCACATTGTGCATTTAGGTCTGTGATGCATTTTGAATTCTTTTGTGAGTGTTAGTGTATGAAAAAATCTGTAGGTCTATGTTGTGTTGTTAGGTGTCATTGAATCAGTACCAACTCATAGAAATTCTATGGACAACAGAATGAAACTCATCCAGGTCCAGGACAACCTCACAATCGCTGCTATGCCTAAACCCATCGCTGCCTCCAGTCTGCCATTCCATCTTGTTGGGGATTGTCTTCTTTTTCTCCAAGCCTGCCCTCTACCAAATATTATATCCTTTTCCAGGGACTGGTCCCTCCTGATAA